CAATATGTAAGACAGAGCATTTATTTGTTGAGATTTGAAGTTGCCATTTGTTTGACCACTCTGATACATAGTCAAGATCTTTTTGTAGGGTAGCAGTATTGTCTGTGGTATTGAACAGCTTTACATCATCAGCGAAGAGAACGCAATTGCTCTTAATATGATCACAGAGGTCGTTTATGTAGAGTATGAAGAGAGTTGGTCCTAGAACACTGCCTTGGGGAACACCACTATTGACAGGTACTGGATTTGATAGGACGCTCCCGATTTTGACCATTTGTTGTCTGTTTGACAGGAATGCTTCTATCCAGTTATTCAGTTGTCCAGAGATACCATAGGATTTTATTTTTAGGAGTAGTTTGTCGTGTACCACTGAATCAAAGGCTTTACAGAAGTCTATGTAGATTGCGTCTATTGCTTTGCCCTGGTCGAGTTGTGTCGTCCATATGTTTTTGCAGTGTAAGAGTTGCAGATTACAGGATAGTTTTTTCCTGAAACCAAATTGTTTATTGGAGAGTAGGTTGTTTGTCTCTAAGTGGAGGATGATGGATTGGTTAATAATTGATTCCATGACTTTACAGTCATGAATTAAGTCATGAATTAAGTCACCCCCTGAAAAGACGGCCTAGCTGTTTTTTCGGGGCTCAAAAAAAAATAAGGCCCGGCCTTATTATGTGAGAAACACGGTATTATTATTATTACTTTTATCTCCTTTATTCATTAAACATGAAACTCAGTCAACTGAACATTTAGAAATGTATCACAAATACTGTATAATTGATTGGTGCTAATGATTGATATGGGTTGCTGCCAGCATCCTAGGTATCAACCAAGTATTATTATTATTATTATTATTATTATTATTATTATTATTATTATTATTATTATTATTATTATTATTCCAAAAGTTGCCTCAGCCTGTACACAAAGATTTCAAATATGACGATATGACAATTATTGATGAATTATTTCATCCAATCTGCTCTTTTTTTTCTTCAAATAGGAACTTCCATTGTAAAAGAAGAACTTATTGGAGCATTATAAAAGTCTCTTCATGAATTTCAGTCTGGCAGACATGAATGCTACAGCAGACAATCTGGACTATACAACCACCAAAGTTTCCTACGAATATCAAATTATATCCAAGTATTCTGAAAGCATCATTTTCTTGGTCACATTCATCATCTGCTGTATTGGAGTCCCATTAAATGGGATTGTTATCTGGCTACTTGGGTTCCAAATTAAGAGAAACCCTTTCACCGTGTTGATTCTCAATTTAGCTATTGCCGACTTTGGGTTTCTCATATCTATGGCTATATTTTGCATTGACATTTTTATACATTTTATACCACCAGGAATTCCCTTTCAAGTTGTCTTTTCCCTCTTCAATTTTACCTATATCAATGGTCTCTTTCTTCTGACAGCCATCAGCATAGACCGGTGTGTTGCTGTCTTCTTCCCAATCTGGCATCGTTGTTCCCGGCCAAAATATTTGTCCTCTGCTGTCTGTGTCTTCCTCTGGATCATCTCTTTCCTCCTGATTGGAATGCATTACATTATGGGACTTTTGTTTTTTTATAAGGCCATCTGGAATCTCCATTTGGTTGTGACTGCTGTGATTTGCCTTCCATTGATCACAATCTCTACCATCATCCTATTCATCAAAATATGTCTTCAATCGAAACAGATGAAACGTGGAAGACTTTTAGTGATGATCTTAATTACCCTTCTCTGTTTCCTTATTCTTACCCTTCCATTATATATCTATGTGTTCATTACTCATTTTCTTAAGAAGAGGAATTTGTTTGGTGTTAAAGAACTGGATTACTACTTAAGTCCGAGTGCTTCCCTAAACAGCAGCATTAATCCAGTGATCTATTACCTGGTTGGGAGAAAGAAATGTGCTTGGAGCAGAGAGAGTATTAAGGTCATGTTTCAAAGAGTCTTCAGAGACAACGAAGCTCCTGTAATCTGATAAAAGTGTAGAAACACAATTTGAAACCCTCTGTAAAAGCAACATTTTAGCTTTTCTTTAATGCCGGATACTTTTATGGGTACAAAATTGTATGGGTTGTTTTTTTCCCCAGCTACAGAAATAAAGTATAACAAAATTAATTTGTCTCCAAAAAGAAAAAGCTATCAAAGTTCATTTTGAAGACTGGTTGTGGTTCGCCAGCAGCCGGTGCAGCCTGTAGCAGAATTGGACAGTGGGGAAGAACAGGGATCAGTCAGGGAGTCTGGAGAGGACTTGGACGAGGGTCCTGCATCCAATGCAGAGATGGGGCCAGGACCATCTGGGAGTGGGCTGCTGTCTCTAGAGCCCCCAGAGTCTGGCAGCAGTGAGGCAGAGGACCAGGGGAGCCTGTTCCCCGTGCGCATGTGTGTAGAGCTGCTAGAAGTCCAGAGCAGCTGAAACAAAAAGGGCGACTCAGGAGTAAGGCTGGGAGGTGATTGCCCCTCCCATAAGGTATAAAGGTCAGGCAAAGATGACTAAACCTTTGCAGGAAGCAAAGTAGTTTGTTCGGTTCAGATTCATTCTTGAAGCTCTTTGGACTTCGGTTGATTTTTTTGTACTTCGGTTGTTGTTTTTGCTAGTTCATTTGATATTTCTGTTGTTGGCAGCACTTCACAGAAAAGAAAGGTGGGTGCTTATCTCTAGGAACTGTTTGAGATTAATTCTGGCTGGGAATGAAAACAAT